TTTTAGATTACTTTAAAAAAAAACTAAAAAAACAAGTACTAAGAATAATTAAAAAAAATTGATATCTCAAAAAAGTGTGAAATCTTTAATTTTATCTCTTGTGTTTCATATGGTTCATGTTATTTTAGATTTTTATTTCAATCTAACTTTTTTACTTTTTTTATTTTAATCTCTAGGTATTGAAAAAAAAAGTCACTAGAAAATAAAACTAAAAATAAATTATTTTGCCGACCACTTTATTTATTTCATTAAAGTAGAGTGTACAATGATTTAATTAATCGAATGGTTTCATTGCGTCTTTGCTAATTGAATTAAGATTTTAATAAAAAGTAATAACAAATATGTAGTTATGCAATAGAAAACTATTTCATGGCAACTCATAACATTTAAATTTATAATTGTGCAAGTAGTCAACTGCTTAAGTAATGGCATGTCCTTGCATAGAGCTTTATATATATATATATATATATAAAAGCTCTATGTATGTATGATAACGGGCTTCTTTTACTTTAGAAGACAAAGGGCCCGTGCTTCTGTTTTTTAAATAAATTAAAAAAAAAAAAAGAATCCAAATAATAATGAAAATAGTAAAACGTAGTTGTATCGTTCTATAATATTTAAATCTTGAAAAAGAAAAGAGTATATTAATAAATTAGGAATCTAGATTACTGAAGGACAAGGTGACAGGACGCTTCCTGACAGTCAAGTGACGCAAAAGACGACGTCAGTGCAAGTTCAGGCCAGCAAAGTACCCGAGAGACACACGTCACAGGGGCTCGTGAGACCGCCAAGGCGAATATCAAGGAGGACGATGCACGTGTAGGGTTGATTGAGGTTCCACGTGGACCATTCGATGACAAGCTGTTCGCTGTGATGATGGGCGCACCTGGGTAAAGTGGTGACTATGGCTTGCGTATGAATTGTACGAAAGCAAGATGATAGCCTCCTTTTACATTTCTAGAATCCATATTCCTTCGATTGTGACGTCTATCAACCCCGCAGTTTTAGCTAGCAGCCTAGCGCTTTCATCGAGTCTTTCCCCGGCCTGTGTCAAGACCTTGGGCTGCAGCCATTGGCGAGTGGCTCATCTTTCCTGGGCTAGCTCATGCCTTTAAGAGCGAGCATCTTTCTTTTTACATTTTAAAACAACTTTCAAAAAAAATTTAAAATGTTTTTATTTTAAATTTTTTTATGTTTTTCATGATATCAAAATAAAATATAAAAAATAAAAAAATACTTAAAATACAACTATTAGCCCGCCATTCAAAGTTTACAGCGTAATGTGAGCATGGACCGTTTGGTTTGTTAGCCTCTCTGAATTGACACTCTTCTGAAAAAGCCTGGTCTTCCCTTAAAACCCTCTATCGAATTGCCCTGGGCCCAATAAATCCAAGTGTCACTGTGTCACTCCTTGATAAAGAAAAAGAGCGTACAAGTACTTGAAGAATTAATTAAAATACACCGCCAAACCACTATCAACCAGTCAAGCCCGCCATTTTCCGTCCATCTAACACGTGCCCATGAACGACTCCCGGTTTTCAAAGCCTACTTTTTCGGAGGATGTTCTTTTTTTATTTTTAAAAATATTAAAAAAATTATATTTTAGTTAATTTTTTTTTATGTTTTTAGATAGTTTGATGGATTAATCTATATTTTAGTTAAAAAAAAAAAATTATGTTTTTAGATAGTTTGATGGATTAATATAAAAAAATTTAAAAAATAAATATTATTTTAATATATTTTTAAATTAAAAAATTTTAAAAATAATTATTATTATATTTTTAAATACACGGTCAATTAGCATACTTATAATTAAACTATTTAAATAATATTTATAATATTATTTAGCTGTCTGGCATTACCGTGCCCATGTTATAGCTCATGGTGCCTTTCTTTCGAGCTTTTCAAGTTAAATCAATAATTTTTAAATTAATTGTTATTAAAGGAAAAAAAAAAGAAAAAAAAGAGGAGACTCTCTAATGTGCTACGGTAATTTCTCATGGAATTAACATTAAAAATAATATTTCAAAAATACCATTTAACTCTGATTTTGCTTGACTGAAGTCTTAAGACTCTGACTTGGTGGGAAAACATTATTATCAGGAATTAAACATTTAGGCGTCATAATGCATGCTCATCATGCTCTGGATGGGCAATTACCGTACGAACTCCGTGGCTATTTAGAAAGAATTGTGCACTTCGTGATTTGCTGCTGCTGCTGCTGCTGATTTATTATTAGATTAGTCTGCTCTTCGTATATATAAGCTTGTCAATAGCTGACTCTAAGATAGAACAAAAATGTGCTCCCAGGTCATCTTGGGTTTTGGTGGCCAAGAAAAAATGCAGAAGAATTATCAAACAGTAATTTAGAGAATTTTGATGCTACTCAGCTTATATTAATCTAGAAAACAGTAGCTTAAAAATATTACAATAATAGTGGTTACCAATTGGTAAATATAAAGGTCTTGTAACAAAAATAAAAATGATTTTAAGAACAAAATATTAAAGACAGTTTATTTTCATTAGAAAAGAAAATACTTGAAAATAGAGTACTCCCAGTTCATGTGTTCGAGAATTAGTCTCAGTAGGCAATTATCAAGAAAAGAAGCCCTTGGCATACCAGCTGATTGTATGCTTTTACAAGCCATTCAGCTTTTCTCAAACAGGTGGCTGTTTCTAGAGCTTTGAACGGCACTGGCCTTGCTGTTTTAGCACCAGCAATTCAGTCCCTGGTTGCTAGCTGATTCTACTGATGATAGCTATCGTGGTGCAGCCATTGGATGGCTACAACTAACATCCAACTCTGGTTCAATTATTGGTGGACTCTGCTCAGTGTTGATAGCTCCAGTAACATTCATGGGAATCCCTCGGTGGAGGGTTGCATTCCATATTGTTGGCATAATCAGTGTTCTTGTAGGTGTGCTAGTTTACCTCTCTGCCAATGATCCACACTTTTCAGATGCCAGTACAAAAGCTCGAGTAAATCCTTCTGGTCAGAGATGAAGGAACTATTTCATGAAGCCAAGCCAGTTACTAAGATTCCATCTTTCCAGATTGTTGTGGCTCAGGGAGTCATCGGTTCATTCCCTGGGTCTGCTTTGGCATTCGCACCAATGTGGTTAGGAGCTTGTTGGTCTCTCTCGTGAGAAAACTGCGGTCCTCATTGCCTTGTTTGTCATTGCTAGTTCCTTTGGGGGATTGTTTGGTGGCAAAAGGGGGGGCTTCGTTTCTGCTCGTCACCCAAATTTTGGGAGGACAGTTCTAGCACATATAAGCTCTGTATCAGCCATCCCTCTGGCAGCATTGCTTCTTCTGGTTTTATCTGTTGCTCCATCAACAGCAATCATGCATGGAATTGTATTGGTCATGATGGGATTATGCATGTCTTGGAATGCTCCAGCTACAAACTAGTAAACTCTCTCGAACTCTTTTTTTTTCTCTTTTTTTCCTCCCTTGTAAAACTCTTTTTTTTTTTTCTCTTTTTTTCCTCCCTTGTACTTATTTGCATCCTCTGCAATAAATATTCAAATTATTAATGTACAGCTAATCAAATAAAGCCATAAGACAGAACAGCCAAAGAATTTGAACGAGCAAGTTCATCGATATTAAATGGGATCAACACCAAATAACTAGCCTGGTTATACAGTACCATATGGGGGACCTAGGAGATTTGCAAGTCAGCCAAATCACTAGATTCTTACATGCATAGACTATATTACTGCGCATGTTTATTAACATTGCAAATTCTTGAAGGTTGATTGGTTGTTATATGCCCATGCAGTCCAATCTTTGCTGAACTAGTACCCAATAAATCTCGGCGTCTATGCGTTGGATCGATCTTTTGAGTCTCTGCTATCATCATTTGCTCCCCCTGTAGCTGGAATACTTGCTCAGCATGTTTATGGCTATAAACCACTTCTGTATCCACAGAATCTGAAGAGATTGCTACAGATAGAGGGAATGCTGCATCTTTGGCCAGAGCTTTGTACAGTTCAATAGGAGTTCCAATGGCTCTGTGTTGTCTCATCGACTCATTCCTCTATGGTACCTCCCCAACAGACAGAAAGCGGACTCAGATGGAAGCACTGATAGAGTCAGAGATGCGGCAATCGATGTCTGATGATTATTTAACCATTGTTAGAGATTATTCTCAAGTTCATTTCTTTGAAGAAGCAGAAGAACCTTCTGGTTAAGGGCAGAAGTGTTATTGAAATGGATTATGAAGGAGAGGATAGTCTTGATCTTGATGAAAGTGATGAGAAGATACATCACCCTATCGTCAACTGACATTCGTCGATTTAGGTGAATAATAGAAGATTGGTTTTGATATTAGCCAGGCTGAAGCTGATCTTTTCTACGAGTTACTCCATGCTAATATCATGCAGTTTGGGAGAACGTAAATTCTCTCGACTAGCAAAGCACATCAAAATACAGGAGCCATATAATAGGCTTTCAGCTCTTTGCTTTCATCTTCTTCAGCCAGAAATTAGCTGTGGAAATACGAGACCCCATTGAAAGGTCTTCTAAGCTAAATGAATAGATAGATTTTTCTCTTCTTTTTCTTTTTCTAACACATTATAATTGTAGTTCCGTTTGTTGAAGATCTTTTTATGTTTACGGTAGGTGATATGTAGACGTTAAAATTCAAAGAGCGCTTGAGCCATTTCACCATTTCCCATGGGATTGGATTGTACATATGGCTCCCAGAAACATGAATCATTCAAAGCCACAGCATTAAACCATAAAGCAATGGCTGGTCTTACGCATACATTTTGACATTTTGCCTCTGTCGAGTACAGCGTGATTGGGCCTTGTTGCTTCCTTTTGAAAAGGCGTCAAAGTTTCGACCATCAAAGCAATAATGGTGGCTAGGACGACCCTTATCTCTATGTATTGAATGCCGTCACCGGAACTTGCCACCTAGAGCATGTAGAAATGGGAAGATCTTTTCAAATACATGCTTTATAACCCTTTATTCAGCTTTCTCTCTGTCTCTTCCATTAATAGCATTCTATAATGATATATAATCAATAACGTGGTCTTCATGCACCTTGTCAATACAAAATATATCACCTAGGTATATAGGAGATACAAAACAATCAAACAGGTATTAACATAATTTGAGAGGAAGGATTAAAGCAGCATGGGAAGCTTAGCTGGGTTTTGTTGTAGAAAACATCACAAACCGCTCATTTCTTGTACATGTAAAATCAACTAGTTCACAGGCTCTACAGACGTCTTCTAGTTCACGTTCAGATAAGAAGATGTTGCTGCCTGACACTTGTGTGAATCTCTACAATGGGAGACAAATCAATTATCCATCGACCATTTATAGCTTGAAGACAAATATATGATGCTTGAAATAGCGTCTTTCTAGCACAGCTTGTTGGATAAGCTATTTCCACCTTGGGTGTGAGATTATTCCCATTTGAGGATATAGAAAATGTCAATGAACAAATTGAGCACGTTGAGCCAAAGTCCTTAAGCATTGCCATTCAAGTTCCAAGTGGTTAATTTTTATTTTTCTTGCTTCACTGATGTTTTGCACTTTATTCACAAAGACAGTGCAATACGATGCATGGCAGAAAAAAGGATGAATAAACACCACTGTGACAAATTGATTTCTATTGATTCCGCAAACCAAAGCTCTACTTCTTTTTCCATCCTGTGTCCAAAAGAGCATGTTGTCTAAAGTCCTTACATATAGTAGTTCAAGTTCAAACTGGACCACATACCTGGCTTATAGGCTTCAAAAATCAGATGAGACTGAAATGCCCATCAAGTATGTAGGTGGTGGCAACGAACACTCCTCCAGGCCTCAAAACTCAACTTACTTAAGCTACCTGCAAAAGAATAGCTACTACATCATGGAGATCATAAGCTGGTAAACTTAAGCAAAAGTGGAATCATGTAAAGCACACTTGTTAAAGAAGCAGGTAGCGATGCAAATAATAAGGTGCGACACTCATATCAAATGTAGATCATGAAAAGAAAACAAAAAATAAGATATCTCTTACGAATTAAGAGGTCTATTCATGACACATAATGAAAACAAACCTAATGCAAATAATCATTTTTATGAAGATCTGTTATTATTGTAATTGAAAGTATTTCACTTCAATATATCTTCTAACTAGCAGAATGCAAAACCCTGTGATAATCAGGAGTGTGCAATCAAGTTCAGTCACATTAGGTACTTTCATAGTAGGTCAAAATATATTCATGCTTCTTATATGTTGACATAAAACACTTCATCAATGTTTTAGGAAGATGCCACATTCAGGGGTAAAGAGATGGTTATGTTCAAAATGAAAGAGCATCCTAAGGTTCCATGGATGACTTGCTAGCATTTTAAGTCCAAAATGAAGCTTTCTGTGAAAAAAATGAAATAGTGTACTTTCTACAAGTGGAATATTATGATTTATATGTGAGCGAAGGGGGTAGTTTATAATGTGGCTACAGATGTCAAATCTATAGCCAAGATTCTTTGTATCAAGCCCTCGAGCATGTGCATTATTTCCATAAAATCATGAAAGAGAAATAAGAGAAGGAATGGCCAAAAATAAAAATGAAATAAGATTTTGCAAAACAGATTGTCCATCAAGGCTTTTCAGGGGAAGACATAATGCAATTTCTTGTCCTCCAATAAGGCCAGGATTACACAAATTGTGGAATAGGTACCCAGAGTTTTAACAAAAAAAACAAGCAAATAACTGTTAGCCAGGCATCAAAGTGTGGAAGCTTGAGCTTCAAAACTGCCTAATCCTTTGAGTAGCAAGTCTCATGGCTTTCCCCTCCAGTCTGATCTTTACACACCATTCAAAACCTTGGTCACAATCTCACATATATAGTAATATGAGGATCTAACGCCTAAAGAAAAATTAGTTTAAAATACTTCAAGTTAGGAAATGCTTACAGCCACAGATGGTGAAGGCCAACAGTGTATAGCAGCACCAGCATGGACAGCATCAAGAGAACCAGAAATGAAAGGAAGTCTAGCTATATCAGCTCTAACCAATATTAAGTTCCTAAAGAGATCAAATACAATCATTGTGCCTGATCAATATTAATTTCAGAAGGAAATCAAAACCAGTTAGAAATAGAGTCTCAACTCAAGCGAGCTTTAAGCCAAAACTAGTTGAGTAGCATATCTCTCGAGTTGTATTATTAAAGGAAACTCCAAATATATTTCAGCAGAAATTGCAGCTGATATCATCTATAAATTTCACTGATTTGAAGAGATGAATTCAAATCATCCAAAGGAAAATTAAACAAAGTTAGTAGAAAGGTTTGGGTCATACTCTCTTGATGAATCATAGCACTGTTGCAGCATGTTTTCTGAGTAATCCAGAGCCATGACAAGAGAAAACAACCCACTCTTGGTGAATAGTCTTGAAAATAAACCACTACCACAACTAGCATCTAGAATATTACCACCTAAAACTGGCTTGAGGTAATCCTTCATCAATTCAAACTGCAGTCCAGATCACAGTGAGTTTACAGCGCTACCACACAAATAAGATTTCCAATTGAACAAACAAATTTCCTGTGAAAGCTTTCAATGAAGAGATTGTCCTCTTACCTCTTTCTCTGGGCCTGGAAAACCATCCCATACAAAATTTTGATGCCAACCTCTCTCTCTCGTAAAGGAATGACATGAATGGAGTTCTGATTCAGAAAAACAAGACAAGGAGGGCGTGACCAAGATTTTAATGAGAAGCACTCATACTGATCATGCGGGATAGCATGAAATGCATCAGGCTGATGATTATATATTCCTATTGAAATTTGTATTTATTCAATGCATGGAAACCAAGTCAGTCCTATAAAATTTCCTGCTGTATCTAGGCAACAGATGCAATTTCCCCAAAGAAATTCCAGAATAGGTTGTCTGGGGCTGTAAATGGATTTAGCCAAGATTAACGAAGCCCAGATTGGTTGTGGGAATCAACAGACACCAATCCCTTCAAAATGGAATTTACAATGACAGAATTGGGGCACCGCCATCTAGAGCATGCAATAGAATCCAAAAAATACCAGGCTGAAAGTTTAGCGGCAAGAAATTTGACCTTTCGCTAGCATGACAAAATAGATGGTTTAAAAAGACTAGCTTGTCATCTTGGAGGCAATTTCTAGTTTTGGAAATGAAAAACATCATTGTAAAGCATGATAGGTCCGGAATCTATCTAATAAAAATTAATAACTACAATTGATAATTGACCCTATCCTGTATTTGAATTGCCTCAGGATGGACACAAATCTTCTTACTAGTACTCTGCAATGGTCTTAGTGCGAAAATGTATGAACATTATCCAGGTCCCAAATTTGCAACAAGCACCATTTCCTCAAGCACTATCTTACTCATGAATATCGCAACAACTATTTTATTCACACTTGAAAAATTCAATGGCCAAAGGCATAGCATCACCATATTCCTTAGACCCACTAGCTACCGTCAATTCAAGATGTGTTTCCTTGCCAGAGCATGTCTTCTTACAAGTGCTTCACTGCAAACTAGATCCACGTGCAGAATCTCTGTACCAAATCCAACCATTACAAACACAAAACTATTTCCATGCCAAGAGCAATAACAATTTCTGCATACAATTTTGAAAATAACTTACACAGATAGGACGGTTGCGCCAATCAAAGTCACGGGCTCGTAAGATACGGGACAGGCTAGGATGTTCTTGCTGCTACAGACATCCTTTTCAACTGTCACGGGACCCTAAATCAAATAAGAACACAAAACGATATATATATATCGATTTGGAACAATCTATGACTAATCATTCAAGATTAATAACCTATAATCGCAATTCTCAAACATTAATAAATCCTGTAACATTTGCTTTTGCATCAATTCCCTTTAATTTCTCTCAGCAACCAAACAAGGAAATGAGGGAAATGCTTGTGATCACAATGAAAGATCACTTAAGGCGCAGTTATGCAATGGAAAATAAAAAACTGGGCAATTTGAAAAAGTCTAAAAATAGAAGGCAGACCGTTGGCTTAGTCTCGGCAAAGGCGGTGGAAGAAGCGCGAATTTTTGTCGCGAAACTAGTGCGTTCACAGGTCGGGGGACAGTACGGTTTGAAATGAACTCGACTCGAGTTGCTGAATTGACTCGGGAGAAACAAGGACGAGAGAATAATGGAGGAGGCCATGACTTCTTTCTGTGTCTTTGTTGGATAGCAGAGAGGATGCAGGAATGCCGGCGGCAAGACACCACCATTGGCTTGCTTCCCCTTACATACAAACTACTGCAGACAGGCGTGGAGGTAGGATTATTTGTCAGGCTGGTTAAAAATAATATAATAAGATATAATATTTATTTTAATTTATTATATATGAAATGTAAAAACATTCTTAATAATTTAGTTTTATTTAAATAATTTATTATAAATATACAATGATTTTTATACGAGGTAGAAAGTTTGTAATGATATTAAATTAAATCAAACTAATGAAGTTAATTTCTTCTTTATGATTTATTAATTACTTTAATATTGTTGGTCTTTATACCTATAAAATATAAACATACAAAATATATAGGAAAAATTAGTTAAAGCGAAACATTATTTATTTTTGATAAACTTTGAAATAAAATAAAAAATAAAAAAAATAATTCTTATTTATTTATTTTAATTGTGCTCGTTATTCTTTTAAATAATAGAAATCATTAATTATCATATCAATTATGAATTTTTCAGCAATTTCTTTTTCTATATAGACAATCAAATAATTTGTAAGAAAATTATCCTCTATCTGATTACGAAATCTTGTTTTAAAAATCTTCATCGCTAAGAAAGCTCGTTCAGTAGTTGCTGTCAAAACAAGAAGAGTCAAAATAAGTCAAATCAACTTATCAACTAGTGGATAAATTGTTGGATTTTTTGTTTCAACCAATCCTTGATATAAATCAGCAATCGATGACATGCACTTTAACTTTGAATGATTGGGTACATTAAGCTCATAATGCTACAATTGAAGTCTCAAATGAATTTTTTCTTGGTCAGAAAAATCTTGAGGATAGAACTTGTCAACAAGTAAGCATATATCTTCAACA